CAAATTTAACTCTACTTATACTCTGATAGTCATGAAGCGTATGTATCTGATAAAACTCACTTGAAACGCTTAAACATGAAAATGATTGCCTATATAGGGACCTTTTATACTCCGCACCAAAGCGCGCCCAAAACCTCTCAAAAGCCCCCAAAAGCGCGGAACGTCACTTTTAGCAAACCTTTCTAGAAGCACCAGTCAACGCTACAGTTAATTGTGGGTTGCGGAAGAGGAACTCGTTATCTTTTGAAAATGTAAATAGGAACCGTGATGATGACATCAAGCCAGAGTTCAATTAATTTCTGAGTTATCTCAGCACTGTTTGATTCGCAAAGTTATTAAGTGCGAGCAACGATTATGAACTATGCATCGAAGTAATTTGTACAAGTGGCTATCCTCTTAGCGGTCAAAAGCCTATCAACTTAAAAAACGAAAATGTACATGCAAATAGCGTTGTGAAAGTCTAGAAAGATAGAACAGTTTTATGGTGAAGTTTTCCAACACTGAGTGTGGTCGGGAGATGTGTCATGTGTCATATTGTGAATGAATGCGTAGTTGTTCCAGTATCAGTATGTTTCCAAAACTAACGCTTCAGCGCCAAAAGTCGAGCTCGTGAAAGAAGCGTTCTGGCGCTCAGGCGCTTTTCGGCACTCTTACAAGGGAAGTTCGCCGAATCGAAGTGGCCGATTGACATGTGGTGTATACCCGGGCTCGGGGCTCGGGAGGTTAGTATCAAATGTGCACCCATTAGCTGCGACGCGTTATTGTGAAGCAAGTTATGGGCCTCTGAAGTTTTTGTCCTGTGCATGTGTAGCGAACGCATAAACACTCCGATCGTGGTCGTGTGGTGTAGTGGATAGTGTCTCGGACTCACAGGTGACCGGTGAGGGTTCGAATCCTGTTGCTGTCCACGTTTTTTGCGTTCTTCCCAAATTTCATTTTTTACCTGTTTTATGTATCATTGAGGTAAAAAATCACACACGCGGCTTACGGGATGATTTTTCTCACAAACATTCGATCAAAGTTTCATATGTAAAATTTTCGGGCAAACTTCTTGCTTTGACCAATCAAACTTTATCCAAAGCCTATATAATATTAGATTGCTTACAAATAATCAACTATTGAGAGCATATGTGATAAGCTATGACAAAATGGTTGAAGCACAGGTACTTCTCGCAATGTGCACAACGAATAAATATAATGTCATTGCATTCTTCTATCTCACAGCAAGCATTTGAGTTCAGATTATAAGAAAAACAAAACTGTAGCGGCGTTTCAAAGGATTCAGGGTGCTCATCCACATACCCTGCGGCATGCCATGAGTATGCGAGAAAACCTTTGAAACGCGGCGAACAGAACTGAAAATAGACAAGTGAAATTAGCTTTAAAATCGAGTCTCTATGATGCAGCGGGAATTCAATTCCGTGAGTGTGAACAAATGAAACAAAACGCTTATAGACCGATTTAAATGGCAGGAAAAAATAAACATCAAGTGGTTGCACCATTGATGTGGTTCCCGCAGGAACATTCATAATTTTAAGACTTTTGCCCTCTGAAAATGCGGACATAATTGAATCATGATCTTTGAATGAAGACCACGAATCAACAAGTAAGAGAGTTGCTGCCGGAGAGTCTGGTGAAGCTACACATGAACGCACCCAGTCCAGTAAAAGTTGCTTGTTCATCATGTGCGTAGTATTGGCACGGATTTCAAGATTATGTGCTTCAAAGTGCCCTCTAGCGGGGAAATGCCCTTGTTTTTCCTAGAGAATTAAAATCAGGCATATAAAATTGTATTAATTCAAAGTACCTGCATCACCACATAGAGTTTCGCTCCAAGGTGGCCGTCTGCATACAGAATCGGCATAATGGTAAATGAGTGAGCCGTTGCGGATACCGACTGCACTACCCTTTCAACCTTTTTCAGCCTTTCTCTGCCAACGACCGAGCGGAGTGAATTTCTTTTACAAACCCACTTTGATCGGCGTTGCAGATCAACGCAAGCGGCCATCTTTCCATTTCTGGAATTATCTCCTTGACTTATGCCTCGATGGAAGTAGCACAATTACCTTCTTTCACTTTGCTCACGAATGCTTGAGCATTTCTTGTAAGGGTTTCTTTGTCCAAAAAGTTTTTTTTGGATATAAAAGTTGTTACCCTTCGCGAAACGATGTTGTTCCTTTTCTTGAACGTATTTATCCAGGTATGACCAGCATGGAAATTGTCTATGTGAAGCTCGTCTCTATTGATTTGCAGAGCGAAATCTCTCAAATCGTGATCGTGGAGAGAAATTCCCAACATTAATTTCGATGTTACAACTTCCTTCAGCCTTTCGACCAGTGATCGGAGCTGTATACGGCGGTCAGCAAGTCTCTCACCTAGATATTCAACATATTTCTTCCAAATAATATGTCGAACACTTCAACTCACGATCTTTTTCAATCTCCCTCAATTTCACCAAATGATACGGGGTTTTGATGAATAAACTTATTAGTCATGCAGGATAGCGGACGACTTCCCTTTTCCGTTGAACGGTAGAAGGCAATTGCCTTTTCAACCTACAGTAGCACATTAAGATGGCAGCGGAAACACGCCAAATTTACACACCATTTCGCCGGATACTTCTGTGTCTCCGAATAGGACCGATCCGCATCTGCTTGATGTGGGCTGCTCATTTTCATCGTCACCAGACCATTCTTCGCCCTCGTTGGCCTCTTCTATCACATCGTCTTCGTCCGATTCGATATCGAGGGCATCAGTAGCTGCTTCACGCAAGATGTATGCGAACTTGTCGATTACTTTTTGTTCATTCCTAGTCGGTTTACGCATATTGTCGCAGGAGCCAAACTCCTTGACAAATATGCTAAAACCAATTTTGGGCAGAACATAGCAACGACTTTTGAGCGACGGCTTATCAATTGACTTTGAAGGCTTGCCAAATTCTCACTCCCACATACTATCTTCGGTTGCACGTAGTATTTAAGTGACAATTTCCAAGTTGTATCACGTCGTACTATTGATTCTTGCTAATGGGCTACTTGTGAGAATGACACGGCAGGATGTATAATTAGTAGAGTTTAACCAACCGTGTGTGTCATTTTTTACCTCAATAATACATAAAACAGGTAAAAAATGAAATTTGGGAAGAACGCAAAAAACGTGGACAGCAACAGGATTCGAACCCTCACCGGTCACCTGTGAGTCCGAGACACTATCCACTACACCACACGACCACGATTGGAGTGTTTATGCGTTCGCTACACATGCACAGGACAAAAACTTCAGAGGCCCATAACTTGCTTCACAATAACGCGTCGCAGCTAATGGGTGCACATTTGATACTAACCTCCCGAGCCCCGAGCCCGGGTATACACCACATGTCAATCGGCCACTTCGATTCGGCGAACTTCCCTTGTTAGGCCTTTTCATCGTTATGGCGGGTGTCTTAGAAAGCTTCCCTGCTAAAACACGGCAATTGGAACTATAGTATGTAAGTCTGTACTCATTTGGCAATTAAAAGGGACACTAACAGCGAAAAACTTAATGCACTGCTAATACGTCATGGCATCTCCTGAATAAGAGTCAGTGAGCATTCAGCTGACCACCAGGTAGGTTTTAACCTTAAGGTAGATTTGTGAATAGCAAAGTTACTTTGGGGTTAAATTCTACCTTGAGGGATGCTCTCAAGGTAGATTTTAATTTCAAGGTTCGTTGATGAATACGGCCACAGGACTTACAGGGGAAGGATACTTGGATGCCGTAGCCATTCATAATGATTTGTATACCAAAAAATGCGCTTTTGAATGCTGGTTCGTAGACTGTCTTTCATATCTGCGAAACGATAATCGATGGAGTTATGATTTTTTCATTAAAAAAATTGCGTTCCTGCTGAGGGTCAAAATCATCAATAAAAAAATTTTCTCTCCTTTCCAAATGCTGAGTATGATCCAGATAGTTTAAATAAATATTACTACGTCTAAAATTTTCTTCAGTAGCATCAAACGGTAGGCTAGATCAAATCTGGTGATTTTTACTATAAAAAAGTAGGCTAAATTTTCAAGGAAAAAAGTTCATAACTTTCTTCAAAAGATCGTTTCGCAGATTTCGAGCACAGATTCAGAATCTGCATTCGAAGGCGCATTTTTTGGTATACAAATCATTAGGAATGGCCGCGGCATCCAATTATCCTTCCCTTGTTAGCTCATCCAGGGGAACCGAGAACGGTGAATATCCCAAACTTGTCATACTGCCGAGCCATTGCCTTTAAGCCATATCGTGGGGTGTGCGTTGCAAGCGAGTTATGTTTTAATCTAATGCTGAATTTCCAGGAGAAAGCTTTCCACACCTTTTAAACACATAGATTTTTCATAAATTTTTGAAGTTGTTTTCCTACTAGCCCTTTTTCGTTTGTGTACCAAATTTTTTTGCCACATTGTTATATAAATGTAAACTGCAAATAAGTACCATTCATTCTCTAACTAAGAGACGCGAGTACGCCTTGCGTACGTCTAATTAACAAGTTCATGTGTGCGTTTTAACACGTTTTGTTAACTTACCATTAGGAAATCGTAGTCGAATATGTTCGAACCTTGTTTGACAAGCCTGAACATGTTTTTTTTTTACAAAAATCTAATGGTAAATTAACCAAAACGCGTTAGAACTCACATGCGAACTTGTTAGACGTGCGCAAAGCGTACTCGCTCTTTGTCAGAAAATGAATGATAAGCAGGGTTGAGCAAGAGGTCAGGCGCAAGGCCGCCAAATACGACCCCCCCCCCCCCGTAGTGATGCTAAAATACGACCCCCTCCTCCCCCCCCCCCCCCCACCTCTGCACCTTTTTCTGTGTACATTCTTACATCACAAAAAATTTATTAGCAAATCACAACAAAGGGCTATGGGCTATGGCTATGAGAGAGTTAGCGGTAGCTGATTTCGTCATTTCCGGGGAATCCCAGTCTCCAGTCGAAGTGGTACCTCGAACAGTCAGCTCAGCTCTCCCATAGCTTTGAGTATCGTGGGGGGCATCGAAGGACTTTGGTGAATCAGCGACGGCCTAGAATCATAATAGAAATCCCAACTGAAAGAAAACCAAAAAATATGGGCTGTTGTCGCCTTCAATTTGGCTCATAGTAAGTTCTCACGGAATTTTAAAGGTTCAAAAGTGATCTGAGCAATTTATGACTTGCTTGCTAATTTCAACAGCGCCTATAAAGATAAAATACTTGAAGTGTGGTGCTATCGCATAAAAATGCCTGGGTCTTTTTGTTGCCCTGACAGTATGGCACAACGGGCATCGCTCGCTACCGCAGACATAAAAAGGACTGCTTGGAAAAAATACCACTCCCATTACCCTAACCGAGACAATTTTGAACCTAGCGATAATCTGAACGACTATTCCAAACGATTTACCTTTTGCTCCGTAACAATCTAGAGCGGAGATAAAAAGACAAGTGAACAATTCAAATCGGAAGTGTTTGGTTCATCCAAAGTTACACATGGTCCGACAGATGAAAAAAAAAGAAAAAAACCACTTACAACACTCAGTCAACAACGGCCAAACGAGTCAGGCTTAGTAGATGCAAAAAAAACCCAACTTGTGCTCTCTTTCTGCCTAACAGATACCGATGTCTTCATTTCAAAAGCGACTTCCTCAGCTGGTGAGAGCGGGCTCTAGAAGAATAGATGTACAGTGTGGTAGAGTACAAGACAGAAAAAGATGCTTTACCTGTGCTACAAGGGCACCTCCGAAAATCGGTAAATGTGATTGTGGTAAAGTCGACTGCACAAAATCGCCCGGGTCGCTCTAGGTTGAACGCACGCGGGCGTGCCTGCTGCTGCCTAGTACGGGCGCTATGCTGATATGACTCATGCGCGCGCATGCCAATGTTAGCCCGCAAGAGACACGCTCGCGGGCGTTCAGCCTGGGCGATCCCGTGCAGTCAACTATAACACCGTTGGCACCACCACCAGACGGTTCGCTGCTCTCATCTTCATCCTCCTTGATTACTGGCTCCGTTGGTGCATGCAAAATTTGCGAACCAGATTTCTAGAATTTTAATCAACTAAAAAAATCAATATTAGCTACAAGAAGTTCCTACTGAATATCATTACCTGCTCATATGCATGCAATTTAGGTGATTTTTGCTCTTTTTGCCCATAAATCATCGCTGAAAGAGTCGATGGCATCTTCCAGAAAACCGACGAAAGACGGTTTTCTGGAAGATGCCATCGACTCTTTCAGCGATGATTTATGGGCAAAAGATGTTCCAGAAGACGCCACAATTGATATACCAAAGATGAATACCAAAAGCCTAGAACAAACAGAAAAATCTGATACTAAACTAGACTCTGACGATCTTACTCATATAAAACTTACCTGACGCCAATCTAGACCTTTAGACAACTCAGCTGATCATCTTTCTCTTGCGAAGAAACTCCGCATGCGATCTTCCTGCTAAGACGAGATAAATTCTCACCAAATCTTCTTCCATGATTCCAGGCTCTCCATCAATTTCCTAACACTCCACCTATAAATTGCTATAATCAAACCTGCACAACTAACAAAAAGCCTTGATACCACTTTAGCGCAATCTTTCCGCCCCGCATGTTTAGATAAAAGTGTTCCAGACATCATCAAGGAGAGCATTGTCATACCCTCCTCACCAGCAATACGAAGTTTTCTTCAGTTTTGCTAACACAAAGCAGTGACCAGACTTGCGATGCTAAATGAAATGACGTCAATATGTTAGAAGCAAAAAAAAACAAATATTCTACCTCCACTTCCTGAAGTCTTCTTCAACAGATCTGCTACTTCTTCTCGAAGCCAGATTAACATTCTGCGCTCGTTGCCATTGCCATATTCCTAGATTACGGAGACTGATGAAAGTTGAAGCGAACAACTACGTGTCAAACAAAAAAAAATTTGGGTAACCCCTACCTTAGACTCAATACAATAGATAGAACACTTACCTGTTTTTTCAGCCAAGAAGAGGGCCTGATATAGTTTTCAAACTTTCTGCTGAGATAAGCATCTACCTGAGAAGAAAAAACTATGGCAAGCTCTCTTACCCAGTAGCTAGGATTGATTATGAACACGTAATAGATACCTTTCCATTGTGAATGGTGAAATGAGTTAAGCAAGATTACTAACCGAAGTTTTTCAAAAAAGAAAAGCAAAGGGAGATAACGGCGAACAATGACCGAAACAGCTAATTCAGTAGATGCTAATTAGAAATCTAAATCTAAACTTAAAGAAAAAGCCAAAATAAAAAAGATGCTAAAGCAACCTACAAAGAAAATGAAACAAACGCACCGTTGAATTGGAGTTTTGAAGATAGGTGTTTTTAACTTGATGGGGATAGACTCTATCAATTGATGCAACTTCTCTTCCTAAAATCGAACCTCTGGAATTGAAAAGCACAAGAGAGTATTCTCAATTCCACTCACATTTTCTTCGGTATCCTCCTCACCATCCATTGTTTTTAGCATGCAATAATCAGCATAAACTTGTCCACTAGCGTCCCAACCCTTACATTAAAAAATTTATATTACTTTACTTAAAAAAAGCCTTGATGATTCGTAAAAATGACCCTAATTTTATCAAGCTTTTTCCATTCTCAGCAAGGGGCCGTAATCGTTGTAGATAGCCCTTGGCTATTGCATTTGGCGCTATTTCGTTAGCGAATAGTTGTAAGGCAGCATCATAGTTTTCGGCAGAAAAAGCATGTGAACAGTCCGCTTCGAAATTCTCTAGGGACTAGAAAAGTCAAGTTTTGTTTGGTAAAACTACAATATAACATTTAGATAAACCTTTGCTTTTATGAATTTTGCTGAAGAAATCAACTCATTCGAAATATCGCAGATAGCTAAGATTTTTTCATAGTGCTATGAACGAGCCGCCAATGACATACGATCGAGAACTTCGCGTATAGGAACGACTATGAAACAAGCACTATTGCCACAAAGTTTGCCTCCACGAACTCACCGCTGATCATGACTAATATGGCTAAGAACAAAAATTGCCAGATGCCAGAGTTCCAACGATGGCAGCTGAGTAGCGCATGACATGCGTAGACACTGTTTGGCAGCTGGTGTCATCGTACGTTAGCCGAGCGCTTAACACTGACCACAAATGCCAGCTAAAATCGGGATGTTATTGCAAACACTTAGACCTTCCCAAATAGTGGGAAAAAGGTCTAAAACAAACCTGTAAAGAAAGCGGAATTTCAATAGCAGCTGATGTTTTCAGTTGAGGTGAGGTGTTTGGACCCACTTCCGAGTTGTTGGTATTCACAGGTAACTTGTCAACAAGGGAAAGAAACAGATGTGGGCACCTGACCAGTGGCAGAAATAACAATACCGATACGCGGTGGCTGGATGCGCAGATCGAGCTGACGAGGATCCACTAAATATAACGCGTTACTCAAAGCAGAAAATTTGGCACGATAGATAACAACAGTAATTAACAGTAATCAGTAATCAATTCAGCAACACAACAGTAACAACAGCCTTCAACAGTAATCCTAAGAATTATTGAATCAACAAAAAGGGGAAGAAAATCAAGTACAAGCACGGACTGAAAAGTTACCTTCAGCGCTGAAACTCCTATGTTCTTGAGATATCCTCTGCCTAGTCCAAAAATGCTCCTTCGCTACTCTTCTCAGGAGCTTTCTTCGTGCCAGAAACCTAAAAAGAAAACAAGTTACTGATCAAATCAGAACTACTGCAAAATCTAGCACGAAAGCACAGAAGTGTTCGAAAAAGAAAGAAAGCTAGAGCTAAAATCGAACTACAGCGGAAAGGGGGAAGAGAACCAAGGATTTGGAAAAGGAGGAAAGCGGGTAAGAAAGAAAGCAAAAAGAAAAGAAAGTATCTAAAAGTTCACGCTGAAGCCAACCCGCCGGCGATCTCGTGCACAAACTGTGCACGAGATGCGTTCCTACAGTAGGACAAAATCAACGGAGGATTTACGACGATCGTCTTCGGCACATCGGTAGGATTAACCACTGATAACTTTTTCGAGAGATGATGAAATTGGATAAAATTTTGGCTATGGGGAGAGAAAGGATCAATCAAAAGTTTGAGTGAAAAATTGGAAAGTTTTGAGTTGTTTGAAGATAAGTTAATAGGGTCAGGCGCAACCCCTCAAAAGCTCAGGCGGCCTGAGCTTTTGAGGGGTTGCGCCTGACCCCATTAACTTCATCTCAAAATGAACTTTTTTGAATAAGTCCTATGTTATCCATTAGCACAGACCTCGTAAATTCCTTATTAGGTGTGTGAAGCAGATTCGTCTTGTTTTGGCTTTCTAGGAGCTCATGCAGTAAATTCAGTCGAGGTGAAAAACGCCATTGTCGAAATTTTCATGGGGTTTATAAAACCATTACTTTGAAGTGGTTTGAGACGAAATTGATATGGTATATTGGGGAAGAGTAATACTTTGTAACAAATGTAAAAAGGTTGACTTTGGTAATCGTTGAAATCAAGTTAATCATGCTTGAAAACAGCGCCTTCCAGACATTAGAGAAGATGGAAAATTGTGATAGGAAATTGTATAAAGGGTCCACAAAGGGTTATTTTGCATGCCGATTGCGAAAATAGCATTTACTTCGCTGGTATGAGACCTTTGATGGGGTTACGGTAGGTATATGGTAGGTTTCCATTCAGATCATTCTAACTCTGCTGTTTCTGTACCTGTCCAATGCAACAGTAATAGGCAATGGTATGTAAAGCTTGAGGTAATTTGGCATGCTGATTACGGAAGTCATACCCAATTTTCACGGAAAGCTTCTTTAGGATCTTACGGTCTGTATAAGGTGATATGAAGAAATTGAAAATTAGTTGAGACTTGGTCAGTCGGGTTAACCAACATGCTGTTCACGTCACAATCATTCCTCTGGTGGAGTTGTGAGATTCATGATTGAGCGCTTTTCTTCTTCACCTTACTCGGACGTAGTATTTCCTCAATTTTTGAACAAATTCGCTTCTTGATTACGACCCCCTCTTGCTCTTTCCCCTCATACGACCCCCTAGGTCGGGCGCGCCTGACCCCACGCTCAACCCTGATGATAAGTTATTCATCATTTTAGGGTGTAGGACGATTCGCACGACCGTGATGCTTTCCACACAGGACCACCGCCGCGCGCAACACACCCTGCGGCGGCTATTGCCTAAGCAAAACAGGGGGAGGGAAGATTTGCGGCGTGTATTACATGTTAAGACAAGTCAAAATCAGGGAGACGCTGCGACCGCCCGTGCAAAAAGACCGTCTCTCATCATTTTATGCAAAAAAACGAGGTTGAAAGCTGCATAAGCGAATTCGTGTTTGAACACGTAAATTATGCAAAAGCTTGCTCATTACGTGTCTGGAAATGTTTGAGAGGTGTCATAAGCTATGGAAAACAACGTGGAGATCAAACTTCGCAACATCGTCAGAGTCATGGCTCTGCCATGACTCTGTTCAAAATGGATGGATTTTAATGAAGGCACCATCCGCACAGCTTACAGCGATACATCTTCTAATTGACTGAATACAGTGCAGCTTCGCTATATGTAAGTATGTAAGTATAGGCCGTCTAACGGCAAACCGTGCTGCCAAAACGACACGCTCATGAGCTGGTATCTTACTCGGAAAGCATGGATTTCCGCTCCCACCGCTGTTTACGCCTGCTTTCATTATTTTATGGAACTAAAAGCAATGACTATCATCCGTAGGCATAGCATAGCTGGTAAGCCAGCGCAGCACTGTGGCGGTTAATGCAGTACTCCTACTGTAATGCAGTCACTGATACTGCTGCTTCATTGTACGTATTGTAGAATAATTATGTGCGTAGACGGTTGTTTTGGTGTCTAACTTCCGTCCGCTAATGCTGACAGACAAATTTTGCAAATCTAGCTTCTGTGGATAAACAGCAGCATCAGCGGTAAGAAAGCACTCCGAAAGATTTCTTGTCCTTTGCTTCTGGAATTAAATAATCTATATGGGTTTCGATTTTATCGATTTTCTCAATTTTTTGCAAATTTTGACTGCGATTCTGGTTGGCATAAAGAGGAGGGGGTAAATAAACATGCTGATTACAAATACAACGTTACTTTTCACAACTATCGATTACTTTTATCGACTTTATCGATTTTCTGCAAGATTTGAGCAACGGGCTGGGAGAAGGCACACGGGGGTGAGGAAGCATGCTGATTCCGAAATATAGGAGGAGGGGTGATTCGGACATAAGGAGGTGGGATTGGGATAGTAAATGTTGTATGGAACTTAGGCATGGAAATATAGTATCTATCATTCTTTGCATCATTCCCAATTTATGAAAATCTATAACGAACCATTTCCTAAGCAGCAGGATGGTCACAGCATCTTCCTTCTCATATTCTACATATAATCCTAACCCAAATGTTCAAGAAAAAGTTATCCAAACATTATTTAAATGAATCGTTGCAGAATCAGTGCTTGTCTGTATTCTTACCTTGTCCTTATTTCACTCGCTAACCTCTGTATTATACTAATATTTACTTCACCGCGCGTGTTGTGCTTTTTCTAATTATAAATAGACATCCTAGGTCGACACATGCAATCCTCGAGCTTGATTCAAGGCAAATCTTATCATATTTTATCGTAAGATACGACCATTGTACGGTATGCAGCACATTTAGACGATCCTAACTTATCGGCTCGTTAGGATCCAAACTTTATATTCTTGCCAAACTTTAGAATTAAGGAAAGTGTTCCAGCTAAAGATGGTATCTTGTATTCCACAAATACCTTGTGGAACAACCAGCAGCGTACTTGTGACCCACCACACGATTACTGAAAGTAAGCACATATCCACTTGGGAGCCCCTCCAGACAGCGCCAATTGTCGCTATTGCAGCCGAAATGCACTAGGTCAAACTTTGTCCGCTGAGCGCGTAGAAGAACCTATTTAAATTAAGAGCTTTTTGATTCTTTTGTAGCTGTTCTCTTTGATTCCAAAGGTTCTCTTCTATATTGTAATGGATAAATCCGTTGTAGACAAAGTGCAATGGCCAAGATTTTGAAGTCTTTTCTGCAAAACTCACACAACTCACTTATCTCTTGTAAGTTAGATTCTCTCGAAAAGGTTCAGCTGTTTTTGAATTGTAACACAAGCCAGCTTGCAAGATGGAAATAAAAATGGCTGTTTATTGTTGCATTTCACAAGGATATAACCATTATGCGACGCAAACTAAACGAAATGTTTGCGAATATTCAAATCAACTTTGTGATTCATACGAAAACACTGTGCCTGATACTGCAGGATTCTGATAACTTCACAGTCTGTGAAGATAAGCATTTTGCCTTCTACTAGCATGAATCTGTTCTTGATCAGTATTCTGTTCTTCTCATTTCTGACAAGCGGCGCAAAGAGACCGTACATCCACATTTGCAGACAATGCGCATGTCGGAGTAAGTGTGCGAAAGAGGTAAGGAATCGTCGTATTTGCTCATAGTAAATTCGATCAAAAAAATTGAGAAAAGACAATGATACTAAATAATGGCGTGATTCCAACTTTTTCGAGTGCGCGGACAGTTGGACAGATGAAAGAAATTTTTGAATGCTTTTTGATTTTTTTTGAGATGTAGTCTTGAATACGGAAAAAATAAACATGGCGGCACCTCGTCACAACTTCACAGAACTGATACAGTCTCCAATTTTCAGCTATTAGTCTTACTACTTACAAGCTAAAAATACTGACTTGCACGTTTCGTGATACATGCAATGCTTGGTGCTATTCGTTTGATCCGCAACTCCGAAAGATATGGGATTACCCCATCTCACTTGAGGGAGTATATCTTCAGTAAGCACAATTCATTAGCCTACTGATCACGTGATCACGTTCTCTACGCTCCATAGATTTGTATATTCTTTCATTGTTGCACATTTCAAGCGTTTTTTGCCCTTCTATATTGCCTCCCTCCCTTTTCCGTCCTTTCATTAGAATAAAGGAACCAAATTCTTGAGCCGATAAAGTTCTCCTTGCTTTCACAAATGCATGACATGCTATAAGTAACTTGCCCTTGCAAATGTCAAAGTTAATTAGCTTTATGTTGAGGTTTCAGGGATACCCAAGAAGAAGAGGTAAAGTCATTGAAATCGGAGGGAGACCGCATTGTGTATGTGGATAGAAAAAATTAAACATTTATGCTTTCAAGACACTTACACCAATTGCTTTCTACTTTGTGCATGAATTTTATAATTGCACATAAAGCGGTTACTTCAGACTGGAAGCTGTTATCAGAAAATATCAGAAAATTTACGCTATGACAAATTCAGCATCAAAAGGAAACAATCTGAAGTAAGTTAGCCTTCAAGAGCAAATCAAGGTAGAGCTTATACTCTGCTAAATCTCATTTTCACGAACACGCAAGCTAGAGTCTCATCTCCAACAAAAACTACTACGCAGCAACTAGTCACATCTCACAATAAGCCACTTATATGTTTTACGAGGTTTGGGAAAATTTTTCAGTTAAGTGCAGGATTCATTTGTAACAATAACAATTCTAAACTACATGTACAACAGTCACATATTCGTCGTTACAACCCACATGGGAAATTTTCCGTTACTTTTCTTCTCATCATTGCCTCTACCTCGAATCCTCAAGCAAAAATTAACAAATTTTCTAGATAAAAGGGCTGCTTTCGTCTTCAGCCAAAAATATTTGTGACCACTGTATCTAGAGCATATGTATACTCCGCAAAAGCTTGTCTTTAGTGTTACTTAGGCAATCTGCGTGGAAACAAACAGTTTAAAACTATTTTTTGCCTGGCAAAATCCAGTAACAGCAAACTCATTGTTATTTCTCTAAATGTTGGATGTTCTTCTCAGCTTTGTTTCCTACATTGTCAGTCTTATGTTCACAACGAGCTCTATGTTACCATGAGCGACAGTGGTCATAAAACACGAAAAATGTAATGTGAACAAAACACATGGTTCTGTCAGTTAGCCCATTTAAAACAAAAGGCCTTAAATTTGAAAAATCTCTCTTCTCGGGAATGATCTTTTATTAGGCGAAACAAAGACGAGTGCTTCTAGGAATAAAAAACTTGTAGTTGAGAAATGAAGCTGATGTTATAGGAAGCAAATTGATGGTATTACCCAAAATTAGACACAGTTAGACTACAAATGATCTGCTTTCTATGATCATTACCAGAAACGCAGCCTTTGTGCATTTTTCAAATCTATTTTGCGCGTGAAGTTTCAGTAAAGGTACTCATCAAAAATGATTGGCAATATGGTAATTGTGTCGATGGCAGATTGTTGTGAGAAATGTATTCGAACTGTGCAAGTTGTGATGGATATCTTGATAAAAGTTTATAGTTTATAGCATGACCAGAGCGAAGAAATGATTACAACTGAAAATGTATGCAATTGAGATTGTTGAGATTTAAAAACAAAGTTTTCTCATTGCATGTGTACGAAAGGATTCAAGGTAGTGTTCAGAAATTTGCGCACAGGTTTTTAACTATAACTAAGGCACTGCCCAAGCGGCAGTGCAAATCATCATTTTTGGCGGAAAAATCCGCCTTTACACTCCTCAGTCTCTGCGCCGTGATTGTAACTCGCGAGTGAAGAGGGTCCCAGCGCGAACCCAGTGCTAAATGGAGGAGACTCAAATGCGAGCTACGATCATGGCGCAGGAATGAGGGGTTCGGAGATGGATTTCTCAGCCGCAAATAGTGTTGTATTAGTGCATCTTTTTGGCTGTTTTCTTCCTTCATGAGTTATTGCCAATCAATAACCGATCTAATTAATGAAACGCGACTGTCATACCCCGTGGACACACGCCGGTGAGAGATCCGTAGTTCCGACGATGAGAGGGGCGTGGCCCAAAGCTCTCTAGGGATCGATTTGGATCCAGTGGGATGGGTGTGGTCACATATACCTAGGGGACAGACGCCGAGAGATCGGAGTCTGAGAGATAGAGAGGGGCGTGGCCCAAAGGCTTTCTAGGGATCGATTCGGATCCAGTGGAGTGGGTGTGGCCACATATACCCAAGGGACAGACGCCGATGAGAGATCGGAGTCTGAGAGGTAGAAAGGGGCGGAGCCCTAGCTAAGGTAATCCACGCCTACAGTTTGAGCTTAGAAGAATCAGTCTTAACAAGAACACTTACCAAGTAAGTTGTTGTGTTCTCTCTCTCTTTAGCAACTCATTTTTAACTTTGTTCTTTATTTTGCCTAGTCATTTCTGCAATAAATCTTCCTGTTTAACCACGTATTTCTTGGTCACATCAGTCGTAAGTAGCGACTTGTATACAGTTGGATAAACTGTCAATTACACAAGATACACTCCTAATTAGTAGGAGAGCGAAACCGACTATAGATGAATTGTGCTGCACTTGGGCCGTGCTTAGTTAGGACCCCAAAATTACTTTTCACGTAAAATCTCCATAGTCCATATTTGCTTGGACGCTGCCTTCAAGTACACACATGCATTCTCTTTATAAGGCACTAGCTGGCTTACCCGGCTCCGCCCGGCCCCTGTCACTGCTATGATTAAGGTCTTATTCCTATCCCTGTAAAACCTTCCATTGTGCCCACTTCCTCATGCAATTCCCTATTCCCGCTGTGTTAGTAATTAGCATGCCCACCTACCTCCCTCAACAACCCCCGCCCCGCAGCTCAGACTTTGCAAAAGAAAAAGCAATAAAACCGGTAAAGTTAAGGATAATTCTGAAAACTGATGGCGCTAGTCGGCTATCCGGCCCCAAAATGTTTTTGTGATGGATCTTGCTCAAATCGGTACATGGGGATTATTAAAGCCGCTGATGACGAATATCGTAGTCATTTCGCGCGATAGCGCCATTTTCTGGGTTTACGTTGGATACACATAAGAAGCTAAAATCATGGATTTCGCTGAAACTTTGTGGGGGGCTAATTGACATGATAAGTACGAATATCATACTCCTTCGGCATTTTGAGGCGATTTCATTGAGTTATGGTAGGTATACTGCAAAGGGGCGATATCTCAGTTTTAGCTGAAACTCGGTCTAGAAGAGATTCGACCTTCTGACCACGTCTAAAACACTCTCGTTGCGTTTTGAGATCTCTTCGCAGATTTACGGTAGGTACATGGCAGCGGGTAAAAATCATGAACCTGCCTGAAACCTTGGCAGAAAATTACCTAAAGTGCTGTTTCAAGAATATCGTGCTCAATCCCCACGATAAAGGCAGTTCGTGTGGTATACAAGTTTCCCACGACCGTAATGGTTTCCCATATAGGACCACTGCCGCGCGCGATACACCCTTCGGCGGCTTTTGCCTAAGCAAGAACAGGGGGAGGGAGATTTGCCGCGTGCGTTACGCGTTGGGACAGGTTAGTTGGATGGCGCTGGAGACCGCCATGCAAAACGACCGTTTCCCATCATTTGAATATCTGGGATCTAAATTGGATCGAAAGCGAAAAAATGTCCATTCAAACCCTGCAACTCACCATAACTTCACAATGATGCGTTATGAGAGCGAGCAAGCATCATATTTGTAAGCGATATACTTGTGAACCGTTACAGGTAAGGTTTTGAGCAAATCTGGAACTTCGACCCATTTACACCCACCGTAACCCAAGAAATGCACTATCTGCGAAATCAGCATGATATTCGTGTTCAGCGCGTTAAATAACCACCCTAGACGAAGTTTAAAGCAAACCCCATGCCATAAAACCACAACTCTATGAAAAGGTCCCACTATGCAAAGAGAGATGATATTCGTAATTAGCATGTCGATTAAGCCATATGGACCGAACTCCAGCCGAATTCATGATTTTGACTTCCTACCGTACACTCATCGTAACCACACGGGAAGACCTTCTGCGGAGAAAGTGTGATATCTGTAATCAACATGTAAGAGCCGGGCATAGTTCACGCAATTTCAGTCGCGACGCGATTTGGCAATTCGCCAGAAGTCTTGGGATCCAACATTAGCAAACTGCATATGCATAGTGTGTATAACTTACTTGTATAACTGATGAAATGCCCTATCTTCTGTATATTTATAATGTGCTTACAATGACTTAGGGACACCTGGAATATCAAATCGCGTCGCGATTGAAATCGCTTGAAGTATGCCCGGCCCTTGAAATAACTCTTATACACGAAGTTTGAGCAAGCTCTACCACAAAAAAATTTTAGGGCCCGGATAGCCGAATAGCGCCAAACTAATATCAAACTCGTAATCAGCATGCTCGACCCCCCTGTGCAAACTCCCAGCCCCTTAGCTCAAACTTTGCAAAATATCGATAAAATCGATAAAAGTAATCTATAATCCTGAAAACTAATATTGTATTCGGAATCCCCATGCTCACCTATCTTCCTGTGCCAATTCCCAGCCCCGTAGGTGAACTCTGCAAAAAAACCAATAAAAACCGATAAAATCGATATCGATCGATGACGAAAAGTAGCCTATGACACCCGCCGGGGTCCGAAGTGCATGCGTGCCAAGCTTGGTCAGGATCGGTTCAGAAATGGAATTTTCCATTCGGAACATACGTACATACAGACATACAGAGGCATACATACGTACAGACATACATATAGACGTTCAGCTTCGAATTTAAGATTGAACTGAGTACGCAGCTGATGTTGTGGCTTGTTTGCCTTCGTCCAGAGCTTTTTTAAACTCTGAACAGAGACCAACACTCATATACGCTAAAGGTGGAAGGAGTACGTCGAGGATTAGACTGCTAATGGAAAGAAACAGCCTATAAGACACTGAGATATATTTGTGACATATAAACTCATTTCAAGGTACTGAGTCATGGGTTTTTTTGCACAAGACGAAGGAGAATGTGATGGTGATTTGGGACTGGAATGATTAGGGGAACCTGGCTGGGCGATGACTGCAAAGTATGATTGCTAATGGATCCGATGGAGCGACGAATCTCCATACTTTCCCGGATAGATGAGATCTACGAGTGAAAGCGCCACGAAATACTCATTTCTGCTCTGTTTTACAGGGAAGAGTCAGTTTTCCTTGTGACCTTTATAAAGACCACTTGCGGCCATAATTTTGAAAAAACAGCAAAATACGCCGACGACAACGCGAATTCATAGTTGTCCGCCCTGGGGACAATGCCTTCCACAAGCATCCTGAGTATTTTTAGCTAAAATCATTCGGAATGCCATCTACATTATATCTACAGTATTTCTAAAAAAACAGCCTAGAAACAAGGAAGGATTTGCTAGGCCCAGAATGTAGAACTTCTCAACGAATGCATCTCACAAGAGTAGTTGTTCCAACAGAACATAAGCCATGGCCCATCATCTGGGTCATATTGTTCCCACCTGGCAGTTATTGCATGACCCAACATGTGGGTCATTTGGTCATCAATGTGTTAATCATTCAGTGCACTAAGGTGAAAACAGCCACATCTAGACCATTTCCTGCCTGGTCTATCTGTTTACCATCTGTTATCTGTTTACTTTTGTTTCAAGAAGCTGAAAGACTGTCCTTCGTAATGCTTGAGGGTATCGTGCGGCATGAGTTTCATTCTCCACTTCGTTTGAATAATCAAAAAGGTGCGTCTTGTACTCGTGAAGTTACAGTACAATCACACGACCGTAGTATTGTATTGAGTACAAGACCACTAAATAGCGGTTCCTTAGATTTCAATTTTATGTCAGCTGTTACGATGTTTTCATCTATTGGTTTCAGCTAAAGGTGTAAAGGCACCTCTGCTATAGTTTCTTGATAGAACAAACAGCACGCGCACGTGTATGACTATCACATAATTATCAAAATTCAGCACATAAAATTTACTTAGGTGAGAACATGAATCAATTTGTAATGTACAATGATATGAAAGCGTTATTTTATCGGTAACCGGATTCTTCTCGGTAACTTTGATTTTACTCCTGTAAAACGCAAACGGTATTGAAACTGTTAGCAACTGCCATTCCGAAGAATTCCTGAAAATCTCATAAAACCACTTACCTTCCATACGTCAGGTTTTCCAATATGATTTAGCTCTTATTTTATGGTTCGTTTTTCGACACAAACAAGCATGCATGTTGAATAAACGGATGTTTGTTGCCACCTATGTCGTTACAACGCTGTAAGAAATGTCATTTTATGGTTCAAACCAAACCAAAGATTTATTTCAAATATTCAAATCAAATCTGTGAAATATAAGAAAAACTTGTGCCTGACACTGCAGAGTTCTCATATTCGCAGCCGGTGAGAAGAAGCACTTCTGCCTTCTCCAAACATGAATCTATTTCTGATCACTTTTCTTTTGTTCTCTATTCGTATGACAAGCGGCGCAGCTTGTACCGGGCAGACCAACAAAATGTGTCAGGACGCTTGTGTTCGCAGAGTAAGGAAATATCATATTTGGGCTTATAATTTCAGTTCTGAAAACTAGGGTGTACTGAAGTTGAAAGTGTGGGCAGTTGCACATTGAAACGGTATTGATTCATTTTTTGAATGGGCGCATCATTTTGCTATACTTCAATTTTTCGAAAGCAATGCAAAAAAATTGTATTAATTTCATGAAGGTAGTGTACGCTGCTGCATGACAAAGGCGCAATATTTTTATACGCGAACGCGGCTCTATTATCCGCAGAGCGCATGAGGCGCAGCATTTAAACGGTGAGAATACGCACGCGGCGTTAGCGCCCGCTCAACTAGCATTGCTTCTATGCCTTCGTCATGCAGTAGTCTTAGCCTAAACAGTGGCGTAAACTAAACATTTTGAGATCCCCAGAGAGTAGAAAAAGAATGCTTAAAATACGCTCGTTATTCACAATCGAAGTCCATACTTGCACAGATTTACAATACATGGATATTAATTTCGGAAAACTACCATACTCGGGTAGCAGGGTGTCCCTCCCTCTGATCCTTGCAAGGAAATGAAAACAAAAGGTCTTTTTATCTGCTAAACTATTCCAACTCGAGAGTGGTACATAAAAGGCTTGACTTATCAAAATGAAACTTTTCTAATTTTGATATGTTAGGCTACTTAGGTTGCTTACCACCCTAGTATGAAAACAGAGCAAGTCCGACTGCTTAGCATGCTCCCCTATCGAGAAAATTGCTCAGGCTAGCGAGAATGTTTTTGGTGAAAATTTGCCTAGCCACTGCCTTTAGTTGCACACAATATCCCAGCCAACTGTGACTTTTCCTAACTCTTCCCAATTCTTTTTTTACTGCGCATCTTAGACTTAGCCTGCCTTTCTGGGCTGCCTCAATCCTATTTTCGTCCTTCTCTTACAGTAAAAAAGCAAAAGCAGGTTTATGCCTAAGTTTGAGCTCCACGGGCAAATGTTTTAGTATGCAAATGGGTTTTCCGATGCTTTCACAATTGTGAAGTCATAAGCAAAAATTTGCGCTGCTCATAAACAAAACTTGCACTGTCGGTCAAAAATATCTTACGTTATATAATGTTTCAGGGACATCCAAGTGGAAGATGTAGAATCCGCAGAGGAAATTCGCTACGGTGTATATGCGATCCAAAGGGAAGGAATTGAGTATGCTTGCTTTCAAGGCACATTTACATCAAACGTTTACAACTTTGTGCATGAATTTCTTTTATCGCACAAAAACAGTTACTTCAAGTAGTTGTTACACTGGAATATTCTAGCACACATCAGACATCGAATCTGTAGAATATTTCTGCAATATCCGCAGTAAGCAAGAAAATCAACATTCACTCCTTGTGTGTCAGAAATCTCCGGCTCTTCTTTTCCTCTCCATCGCTAAAAATTGGGGAAATGTTGATAAAAAGCTATTTCTGTTCTCTAACTTCTTGATGGACCAATTCTTGACATGATATCGACATACTCCGCAGAATTTTCGGCAAAAATCTGTATAGGTACTACTGCCAAAAACAGTAATTCGGAACAATTTTTTGTTTGTAAAGATCAGAAGTGATTGCTAAAATTTCTAAAACAATCCAAAAAGCTTGCAAGTCCCGGAAAAGCCACAGCATGAGCCACATGGAATATCACTTTTGAATAAAATTGCTAAATACTTCTGACTAATGCTCGGCAAGAACTGAAACCGAATATTTTGAATATTTTGGAAAGCAAATTAATACGTTGAAGGCTACGCGAATTTTTAGTTGTCCGCCCTGTGGGACAATGCCTTCCACAAACATCCTGGGTTTTTAGCTAAAATCACCCAGCATACCACCTACATTATATCTATAGTATTTTCAAGAAGCAGCCCAAAACAGGAAGTAATTGCTAAGCTCAAATGGTGGAACTTCTCAGACGAATGTATCCCACAAAAGTAGTTGTTTCAACAGAATTTAAGCCATGGCCCATCATCTGGGTCATATTGTTCCCACCTAGCAGTCATTGCATGACCTAAAATATGGGCCATTTGGTCCTCACTGTTGTCCAACTTCGGTTGTTTATTAATCTTGGCATCAAAAGTTGATAATCGTTTGAACTTGCTGAGCGTCGACCAAGATATCAGCCACACTTTATTCACGGCCAACGTTTCGGCGAAATCGCCTTCGTCAGAGCCTAGAAAGTCGAAAACATAAGTGAAACATTCTTCTAGACGCCAAGATCTCAGCTCAAAACGAAAGTCAAATTGGAGAGAGGCAAAGGCAAAGGGAGATCGGGTAACCAAGACTCACCTTCGATAACGTGTGATGATGTGTTAGACCACCATATCCGATATCGAAGGCGATCCCGCCGAAACGTTGGCCGTGAATAAAGTGTGGCTGATATCTTGGTCGACGCTCAGCAAGTTCAAACGGTCCTCAATGTGTTAATCACTCAAGGAGTGAGGTAAAAACAGCCACATCTAGACCATTTCCTGCCAACATGTGGGTCATTTGGTCATTAATGTGTTAATCATTCAGTGCACTAAGGTGAAAACAGCCACATCTAGACCATTTCCTGCCTGGTCTATCTGTTTATTATCGGTTATCTGTTTACTTTTGTTTCGAGAAGCTGGAAGACTGTCCTTCGTAATGCTTGAGGGTATCGTGCGGCATTTTTCCTCGTGCAAACGCAAACGGTATAGAAACTGTTAGCAATTGCCATTCCGAAGACATTCCTAAAAACTCATAAAACCATTTGCGTCCCATACGTTAAGTATTCCGATATGATTTAGCTCTTAGTTTATAGTTCGCTTTTCGACAAGCATATGTGTGGACGTAAAAAAGGATGCTTATTGCTGCTCGCTACAAGGCTGTAAAAAGTGCCATTTTACGGCTTAAATAAAACAAACACTTATTTCAAATATTTAAACCAAATCTGTGAGATATGAGAAAAGCTTGTGCCTGACACTGCAGACTTCTGATATTCACAGTCTGTGGGGATAAGCACTTCTGCCTTCTACAAACATGAATCCATTTTCAATCGAGTGTGATGAAATGGAACAATGTTGATTCATTTTTCGAGTGGGCGCAGCAATGAAATGGGAATTCCATTGCTAAACTTCAGATTTTTGAAAGCAGTGCCAAAAAAGTGTATCAATTTTATAAGAGTGCATCTCCCTGTATAGTGAATATATAACATATGCATGCATATATCATATATACTATATCATATATAACTCAACTGCTCTTACTTGCCTTTCAAATTGGAGTGAACTTTTCGTAGTAATCTGATCCAGTTTGAGTTGCAGCCGATGATGATGGGTGCGATAGGGCTGCCGGTTAGTAGTGCACGGCTGCAAACTGCTGCAAATCCACTACCGTGATCAAAAAACCACTAAACTAGCATGAATTCAGAACTTAATCTTTATATATTGTAGTCTTCGAGCTTGATATTTCACTGTGGAAATGTCAGTAACAATGGCCCCATATTTTTTAAATCACTTAAGCTATGTCGTGAGTTTTATTGTGGAAGCAGTTATTAATTTATTTGCGATACGGTTAGGCATGTCCAGGTATTCTAGCAACTTCGCTGTTCACCGACATGGCCCGTTAGGATCTGCTCCAGTTAGTAGCGTCTCTTCTGAAGTTATACATCTGATGTAGTTACCTAGTTCTTAAATTCGTCTTTCTCTTCTTCCGTGCAACCTTCTTGAGGGGCGTAAGCGGTGACTATTCAAAAAACTCGTTCACCTACATCCAACCTGATGCTCATGAGCCGGTCACTTAATCGATCCACGCTAGTTAAATTATCCCTCAACCTTTCAGAGACGACTATTCTGACGGATCAGGATGACGTCAAAAATTGACAGATATTCTTGGAAGACGTAAAGTGGACATCGCCTGCATCCAGGAGACCAGATGGAGGGTTGAAAATTTATGCTAGATAGGAGAAGGTTTCAAGCATCTATACAAAGGAGTAAGCACCAAAAGAAACGGCGTCGGAATAGTCGTCTCTGAAAGAGTGAGGGATAGTATAACTAGCGTGGATCGATTAAGTGACCGGCTCATGAGCATCAGGTTAGATGTAAGTGAACGAGTTTTTTGAATGGTCATTGCTTACACCTCTCAAGAGATTGCACGGAAGAAGAGGAAGACGAATTCTGGCAAGAACTAGATGACTACATCAGATGTGTATTTTTAGAAGAGCTGCTTGAAGCAGATCTTAATGGCCATGTCGGTGAACAGCGAAGTGGTGCGGCTAAAAGTCACGGAAATCATGGGTTTGGGATCCGCAACGTAGACGGCGAGCGCATTCTGGAGTTCACTTCTTTTACTAACAAGGGAATGGTCAGAAGTCGAAGTGGCCAAACCAAACAAGCTGTATATCATTCGATGCAGTATAAAACGCTGACTTCGAATCTAATTTCATTATCTGCTTATCGCTTCTGTGGACGAAGTACAAGCAGTTTTGTTGTGAAAAAATCATACATAAAAACAGCAAAATTGAACACATTGTTGCACTTTTAGCTCAGCTTTAGGTTTTAAGAATTTGAAGTGAGTTAGCTGCATGTTTTGGCCCAGCATTCAGCCGATTGTGGCTCTGTGCGGTTAAATTTTCATTTTCACGCATAATTTCTTAGCAAAATAATGGCCTTTCATGGCTTATAGCTTCGTCCAGAAAAGCGATAAGCAGAAAAGGAAAACAGATTTAGAGTCACTTCATGCAGTTTGCCTGAATTGGCCACTTCGATTTCTGATCATTCCCTTGTAAATTCTATTTCACTTTAAACGAATCTTGCCGTATATGTGATCATAAACAATGCTACTGTGCTTTTCTTGACCATTTTAATTACAACTCGCGAGCTGCAAGCAAATCATCGCCATTTACGAGCATGGCGTTTGTTTTCACGCACTGCATTAACCGTCCAGTCTAATGTATGGTCCTGCATTACTTGATTAGTATTGCAACTCCGCGGAATTATTGTGCGTTTTCTTTTGATTTGGCGTCTTTTTTTCAAAACTTCCAAGACGCAAGTCATCACATTCAAGCTTCTGTCAACTTGTAGTTTGACACCAGCAGTCATTTCTGATCCATTCTCAAAAGGTAAGCGTCCCGTTTAATGGCTGAAACTGAAGCATGATCATCAATTGCATGACTATCCATTGGATTGTTCATAGTCATACTTGGAATAATCTACAGAAGGCTTGCTCAAGTGCGAAAAAAAATGGAGCGTTCATAATGATTAACATCAATGATTGCAGACTTCGCATGAGCCAATCACAAAGAGGGAGAGGCATTTTCAAATAGCAGCAAACTCATTGTTGGTTTCCCAAATATTGGGTCTTCTTCATAGCTTTGTTTCCTAATTGTCAGTCCTATGTTCATAATGTCCTCCAAGTTACCATGAACAACAGCGGTCGTAAAATTTGAAAAATGTAGTGTGAACCAAACACATGGCTTACTTTTCAGCTAGCCCATTTCAAACAAAAAAGCCTTGAATTTATGAAATTCCTCTCTTCTCGGAAACGATCTTTTGTTAGGCGAAACAAAGACTCGAGCTTCTAGAAACAAAAAACTTGTGGGTAAGAACTGGAGTTGATGCTATGGGAAGTAAACTGATGGTATTATGCAAAATAGATACAGTTAGACTACGGATGATCTGCTTTCCACAATCGTTACCATAAATGCGGTCTTTGTGCATCTTTCAAATCTATTTGCGCGGAACGTTTCAATAAGGGTACTTATTAGAAATAAGACAAAATGGTGATTGTGTCTATGGCAGATTGTTGTGAGAAATTTGTTTGAATTGTGCAAGTTGTGATGGATATCCTGAATAAAAATTGGTGTTGGAGTACATTGCTTTCTCATACATAAAAGCACCTCACAAAGTCGTTGCTGGAAAAAAGTCATTGTCCAAGAAAATTTCAGAAAAAAATATTCCTTTTTACAAGAGACCGGCAAACATTGTTCTGTACCCAAACTTGTACCCACTATTCTCATACTCATACTGCAAACGGCAAGAAAACCATACGCGAACCGGAAGTTTTTCTTTGAAAATCCTTGTCTTTGAGAGCTTACAACTCCCTTCCTTTACAATTCCTCTTTTCGTTTCCTATGGCTGATAATCAGGCTTATTTTGGCGCATGCCAGTATATATGTGCACATAGAAAGGATCTTAACGGAGTTTTGCGAGGAGAAAAGTAAAAATTCAAATGTGTTCAGTTTTTTAAGCTCTGTTTTTCTGGTCATTATGAAAA